TGCCCTATTGAGCAACAACTTTACGTCCCAAACGCCTTCCTTGCCCGCCCGCCCACAAATGGACGACCGTTCCTGACGCTCGTATTCATTCATTTGCTGAGCAAATTATGAAGCAAAGGGATTGGTATGAAGCGGCGTGATGCTGCATGCATATATGGGTACACATATGCAGCCGTATCTTCGGTAGCGGTGATTGGCAAGATGCGTACGGGAAACTCGTCCGAAATCGATTTACAAGTCACTGAGAACGGAGGCTTTTTCTTCGCCGGATTTTGACCGTTTCACTCCGTTCTTTCGCCATTTCCCCACTATTAGCATTTTAGGCTAAGTAGGAAACCATCGTGCCAACTGCCTTTAAGAGCAACTTACACCGCAGACGCGCTGCACGCCTCTGCCATATCCCAGCCTCATCTGTTCCGGCCGGCGTCCGCATAATGCGTGTCCCGCGCGGCCTTCTGGCACTTTGCCAAGTCGTATTTTGCGCTTTCGAATGCGATTTGAAGGCAAACTCCTTATGTGGATGACAGCTGAGGCTATGCTCATGCTGAAAACCTCAAATCAGATGCAGGTGCTCTTCAATTCTAGCTCCGCCATCAGCTGATCCAGAGTTTGCAGCATGAGTAACGCCTCAGTAGGAATCTGCATCGGAAGTTTACGTTTTGATCGCATTCAAAAACGCAACCCACGAGACCTGACAAGGTGCCAGAAGTGCCGCGCGCAAAAGCGTTGTGCGGAGCCGGTCGGAGTAGATGGCGATGGGGTATGGTAATCGGCGTGCAGCGTGTCTCTGGCGTAAGTTGCATTCTAGGCGGAGTATGGAAAGTCAGCCTATCCCACAATCCTGGAGCCCCATCCTCGCGCATGTTCGGACGGAGAATCACTACGCTTTGACAGCTGGGGGCTTGTCAATCCGGCATAAGCCAAGGGTAAATCTCGCAGGTGAGCGTGCATTTTGTCTTTGAGCTCGTATGGGAGCTATTTCAGGATTCGGAAAGCAGTCGACGTTGAACCAGTGCTCTACCTGGTCTAACACCCATGGAATCACTGTTCTTTACGCGTTATGCTCCTCTTGGCGAAGCAATTAAAGACATGGAAAGAACATGGACGCAATTAAAAACTTAAGTACGAAGAAAGGCCGTACAGAACTGCTGAAACAAGAGGTTGAAACACTTGATAGGCAAATCACTCAGTTGTACCGATTAGTGCCGAAGCCGACTAAAAAGCCTACACCGCAACAGAACACTGCATCGACACCTACTAAAGTACCGGTGCCTGCCAAGAAGACTGCATCGACACCTAGTAAAATACCGGTGCCTGCCAAGAACACTGCATCGACACCTAGTAAAACACCGGTGCCTACCAAGGACACTTCATCAAAACCAAGTAACATACCGGCTGAGTTCATGTGTGAAACGGTTCGCGAGTTTGATGCAACCTATCGAGCAGTTGAAAAACGAGCAGGAAAGAAAAAACCATTCAGAATGGCAGCCAAGAATGGAGTGATTCCGTTTAATTCATCCAGTTTTCTAGTTGAAGAGGAACCAGTTGCTGTTGAAGAAAATCCCAATCGCAATGTCCGCGATAAGAGTGAGTTTTTTACTTCTAGACTTTTAAACAGTGCTCTTGCAGTCTAGAGCACCCTTTCCCATTGAAGTAGTGTCGAACCCACAAAACACTACACCATGGTACGGCTGGGCTTGTTCGGGGCACCAAACAGTACTCAGCTGAAGATTGTTCACACCACTCTGTGAAGATCTTAAATTTCTGTGACCAGAGTGGCTCACCAGCACCATTCCACAGCATCACAGTTCAGAAGTGAGACCTGATAGTTGACATGAATCAACAAAAGCGATAGCCAACGTGCGAACTGCTCCCTCCATGACGTACAGGGCCTTGAACCGTCAAAATAACTCTAGGTCTGTCATCATCCCATCATCGTTAGGGCATTTCGGTTCGCCTGAACTACTTGGAACCACGAATAAAACTTGCACAAGTGTACACCCCCCCCCCCTTTGGTGTAGTTGGCCTGAGGGATCCCTGAGGGTTCTGTGCCGAAAGTTGCCACCTTCCGGCACGGACCCTCTGGGATCCTCTGAAACCACTACCATCGGTTCTCATTGTGAACGGTCAAGGAAAGGTTAGGTTGGGAAAGTTCTCAGGCAAGGGAGGGCGCGTTCTAACGCACTTCCCGTTATGGGCTCGCAAGGCTTAAGGCGTAGAGCAGGATACCACGGACGACTGGTACTAACGAACTTGGCCACAAAATGCAAAAGTCGCAGAGAGGGCTCAGTGTGAGCCTCAGCTTCTTCTCCGCGAAAGGGATGACCGTGTGCCGAACAATCTTCCTCCCCCCCCACCCAACCGTCCTGAAGCACGTAGTGCCAGTTCCATTTCCCAACCCAAGAGGTGGAGTCTCGCGCGGCTGCAGTGATTTGTCCTCTGGCCCCGTTCCTGTGCACTTGAGTCTCACTGTTGATTAATTCTAATTAGGAAAGCTATAAGGATAAAGTCATTCGCCGTTGACATTCCCGTTTAAGGGATTTCTCCTGTAGAGATCGCGTTCCTTTAAAGGGACGCGCATACGGCCGATTCAGAATCGTAGTGCTGTATTTGAATGCCGTGTGCCCTGCAATGACTTGGGGTGCCAGCCGATGTACGAGTTCCAGTTGTTCTTATCCTGCCTCGAATTGAAGCCGGATTTACCGTACTCGGGAGGGTGGAAGGCTTGATTGGCCTGATACGCGGTAGACAGCGCGTTTGAACCAAGACCGCGGGGGTGGTAAGCGGCCACTAGGTCACTACGCCGGCGCTCCGCGCCAATTAGACAGTACCAAGGACTTTCGGGTTTGGTTCGATGGATCAACCCTAAGCCGCTATCACCGGACGGTGTAGCATGAGGGCTCTCTGACTGTTTTCAACTCCCCTCTCTTCCGCGAGATCGCGTACTGTGCTCTAAAACCAGATTTTAAGCAAATCAACTTTGCGCATTGATCTCATTGAATAAAGGGGAAACAGAATGAAACTTCGTGTAATTTACTCAATCCACTGTGCTGCATTCCATTTATAAAGCCGATTTGTAGGAGGTTTTCAGATCTCGGGCACTTCAGCACGGTCCGGCCAACAAAGGATTATCTTGCATTGAGGGCAGCGCAAGCCCGCGCCTATAACAACTCAGGGAGAAACATAAGTGAGTGATAGCCACGTTGTGTTTTCCGTCTATGATGGATACTTTTCAAGTGGAAGCGATCCGAGAGCAGCTGGAAGCGAGGCGCCCAGCGGTTGTTGGACGCTTGGTCAACAGTCCTACCAGCAAGAAACCTTCGCAACAGCAGGATTCTTCTTGAACCGAAAAAAATCCAAGTTTTTGTTGCCTTATATTCCATTAAGTCTGATTATCGGTGAAGTAATGAATCTCAAATATTCTTTCGATTACCGGTGAAGTAATAAATCTCAAACATTCTTTCGATGATTCCCTTCCTTTTTTATTTATCAGACGCAAGATTCATATTGTAGGTGGTCCTTGAGCACGCTACTATTCCCATGGCCTTAAAAACAGTTGGCACGATAAAAACAAAACGAGTAGGGTCAATACGCCTGGCAGGACAGAATTCCGCGACCCTAAGCAGGCGCTGCGTAACGCCTTTTCCAGGAAGGTACCCTTATAAGGGCCCTATCAAGCTACAACATACCGACCCGAACGCCCACCACGCCCGCCCGCCCACAAATGGACGACCGTACCTGATGCTCGTATTGCTTCATTTCGCTAAGTAAAATATGAAGCGAAGGCATTGGTATGAAGCGGCTGCGTGCTGCATGGATATATGAGTACATAATGCAGCCGTACCTACCGTAGTGGTTATTGGCAGGGTGCCTACGGGAAACTCGTCCGGAATTGCTTTTTAAGAATGAAGGCTTTTCTTGGCAGTTTTCGACGCTTCACTGTCGTTTTTTTTTCGCCATTTTCCCTTTCATTTAGGCGCCCCTGCTACAGTTTAGGCCGACTACAATATTCTCGTGGCAAACTGCCTTTGAAATGTAAGGTGTACGTTCGTCGGCGGATGGGTGTTGGGCAAGATCAAGAAGTGGCTTCGTTTGGCCCCACCAAGCCCTTCTCCACCAATTGTTTAAGCAGCAATGCGTCTTTTACATTGGTATAAAATAGCAGGCACGTGCAAACCGAGCTCCCTCGACAGACGGAATCGAACAAGTTGTCTCAAGATAAAGCTTGCGATTGCACAGTGTAGGTAATGGTCTTCAGTTATGAACCGAAAGTCTCGGGTAACTCTTATTGATAAACGAAGCAAAAAAGCATCGAGAACACCTTCAAAGGAGACCTCTCGGATCCCTGTGTCTCACGACTGGTTTTTTTCGCATACTTGATCACTAAATCCCATGATGTACTAGAAAAAAACAAAAAAAAAATTGCGACAGTTCTATCAGGAAAAAGCTTGCGAATCTCCATGGGCAGAATTAGGGTTTGTAAGCACTGCACCAAACAGTTCTATTGCACCGATGCCAATATCCCCGTTGGTGGGTTTGGTGCGAACGATAAACGCATCTTAGGCAGCGTTCATAGTTCGCGACAGCAGGTGCTGATCGCTGGCGATCGGCGCGCGATCGCCGCTGCCTGTCGCGAACTATGAACGTGCTATAGATGCGGAGGGGGGGTTTTATCAGAGATGGAATTTAGGGGGAGTCGTATTTTTCAGTCGAATTCATCAGAACGGATGCGTGCCCTCCTACGGTCTTATTTAAGAATGATGCATGCAGAGGCCATCTAAAAGGAATCAACTGGCATGAGAATAAAGGTCTCCACGATGGAAGCTGCTTGTGACGTTGTTCAGTTTACTACTAATATGGTCATCATCCCTGCAAACGAAAGCGCGTATGAGAGGGCATGGATTGGAGGGCAGCCTTACCGACCTATTGTTGCGGGCTCAGGATTTCAATATTGGTAAAGACACAAGCCGCTTGTTGCGCTCCTCCAATCCATGCTTTCTCACCCTCTGCAGGTGAATTGCTATGAACTGGCATAGCGTTCATTTAATAGGATCTGAGGAAACAGAGGCTGCTCGTAAGCACTGGCGGCGCGTCAGCAAATTCAACACTTTAATTAATAAAATCTCTCTCGTAGGAGATATTGTCCTACGACGCAGCAGACAACAACGGCTCGGTCATTATCACGTAAGTCGTCGTGTACGCAGAAAAGGTCAAACAGCCCTAATGATTCCAAGTCAAGGGCTCCATAATTCGTGACGAAAGAAAGTGCAGTGGCGAGTGGGGTTGCTCACAGCTTATACAGCTCTCGTTCAATCCCCGAACTGACTCGTACTCAAGTCAATCACGCTTCTCACACCTACGGTCAGGGTACATCGTTGTTGTGATAATCACAACGCTTAGGGGGGGGGGTCGATCTTTGGGTCTGAGACAAGCTTTGATAATTGATTTCTCTTGTTTGAACGGACCCATAAAAAAAGGGGGGAGTCGGTATTTTGTCTTCGAGAGGAATTTGCGGCGTTGAGGAAGAACTTTTCCCGGTTCTTGACTTTTTGTGGTTTCTCCCTTTTCACTGGTGTGATTATATACCAACCCTAGGTGGCGGCTCTGCCGAAGATACTACTTCCATAGTCGAAAATAGCAGTTAGTTACTGGCGACCTGCCCCCATTTTTCTTCCTGGCGACCTGCCCCCATTTTTTGGTAAATGCGGAAAAACTGGAAAAAGTGGTAGGAAGTTGGGAAAATCTAGGAAAGTGGTAGGTAGGATGGGGAGGGAGGGGGTCGTATCAGAGGATGGAATTAGGGGGGTCGTATTTTTCAGGAATTTATCACAACGCGATGGCGTGCCCTGCCTACGGTCTTTTAGTTGATGCTAGAGCCATCTAGGAGGAATCAACTGGCATGAGAATAAAGGTCTCCACGATGGAAGCTGCTTGTGACGTTGTTCAGTTTACTACTAATATGGTCATCATCCCTGCAAACGAAAGCGCATATGAGAGGGCGTGGATTGGAGGGCAGCCAGGGCAGCCTTCCCGACCTATCGTTGCGGGCTCAGGATTTCAATGTTGGTAGAAGACACCGCCCTGTTGCGCTCCAATCCATGCTTTCTCACCCTCTGACTGTAGTGTGGTGAATAGCTAACTTTGCTTGCCGACAGAGGCACCCGCCTGGACTGTCGGTTGCAGATCAGCTGAGGTGCAGCTTGACCCAGATTAACACTTACAGACTCCTATCTTAAAGACCTCACTTTGACGGGAGGTAGTACACTGGCAAGTGACGCTGCTTATAACTCTCGCTTGGCTTAGCTCCCGCCCAGGCCAATACAAGGTCTTCATCACTTCGGAACCGTCTAATTGGTATTCAGCGTCTACGAAAAACGCGACGACTGCAACTTTGAATGGTCCCATAACCCATTCTGAGGGCCAGATCGCATTTTAGGCAGCAGTGGGTGCATGGCATGGCTCAAAAAGCAATTGTTCAAATCGATTGCCAAATAGTTTATCCTTCTCTTGGACGCATTCGTCGTTGTTGACAGAGAAGCGTTCAACCAGTTGTTTATATAGCTTCATATAAGCACGATGTCAATAAACAATGTAAATACCGTTCCAACTTGTTAACTGATAAGCGTGACCCCTCTTCGGTTTGATGAATTTCAACATCCCTGAAGTATTGGACTGTCAGTTCTGACGGTTCAGCGGCAAATACTTCTCAACAGTTGCTCTCGATGTCCATTCATATAGACGGCACAGTTTTCGACGATATTCAGAGGGTGAGTAATCCTGTATTAATAAGTATTTTCGGTTTTTTTGTTGCATTGCTTTCCCTGACTTGTTTTTTTTCACATTTTTCGTTCAAATAAGAAAATGAGGCACATCATAGAATGTCTGGCCCTCTTCCAAGATTCATAGTCATGCTTTGTAGTGGAAGTTGTGGTCCCTTGTTGGAGCAAAACTGGAACTGAAAGGCTGCACTGGAAGAGGACGCCTCAATGTTCGATCCGATCCTCTTCCGGTGTATGTTATTCTGCTTTCGCACACCTCAAAGCCCAATTCCGCTACTTCATGAGTTGCCTCATAACGTACCATTCAGGTGACCTCCACAGCAGAGGAAATTCACGTACTCTTCCAGTGAATCGCCGAAATTTCCTGTGTTATTTCCTGACAAACCAAAGGCGGTGAAGCGGCAGCGTAAACCGGGCCCACAGTCGACACCAAATCTGGTACCAACTTACGCCTGGCTATCTAGACCCTGTTTCCTTACAAGCTCGGCTAAAGGGGTAACACACGATAATTTGGCACTCGGTCTAAAATGGTAGCAGGGTTGTATATCGTAGGGCGGGGGCGAAGAACCAAAGCGAAATGTCAAAAAACTGCAAAAAAAACTTTGTTCTACATGACTCAGGAAGCAATTTCGGACGAGTTTCCCGTTGGCATCGTGCCAATAACCGCTACGGTAGATACGGCTGCATGTATGTACTCATATATCCGTGCAGCACCGCAGCCGCTTCATTCTACCCCTTTGCCTCTTATTGTAGCCTCTTATTGTACTTCGCAAATGGAGCGATACGAACGTCAGCATCGCTCAGACTCTGTGGGCAAGGGCAGTCCGGGTCGATACGATACCGTTTCGATAGAGACCGTTTGTAGAGCACTATACGTTTGTAGAGGCACTATCTCTTGGAAAAGGTCGCACTCATCGCCTGCTCAAGGCATGTGGATTATTATGGCCGGTTCTGGTTCTGTCCTGGATATTAAACCACATGCCTTGAGGATTTGTCGTGCCACTTGCCTCTCATGTATCAAATTTGTCTGATAATTCAACGGAGCTCGTAAACACCTGTGTTACCACGTTTGGCAGCTCATTTTCCCTTTACGCCCACAGTTTCCGAAATGCCAGGCCAGTTAATAAACGACTTTTTTTATCCGTGGCGCAGATTTTGCCTTCAAAATGTCTCGCCGGGTAGTTTGACCTCCACAGAATACGAATACACATTCCGTTCAGGTCGCCGAAACTTCCTGGCGCCGGCGCTGCCACAGGGCGTCATGATTTAGGGCTTATTTCTGGCGCCGGTGCGGCGGCGTGGTGCGGGCGCCAAAAGGTTTTGGGTTGAGCGGATGTGATATTCGTGTTCAGGGGGTCAAACTACCCCTGGGAGCAAGTTTTCAGCGAATTTGGTGATTTCGAGTATTTTGGCGCCGGCGCCCGTGGCGCGGGCGCCAGGAGGTTTCGGGTCAAGCGGATGCGATATTCGTGTTCAGCGAGGTCGAACTTAGCCGCCTGAGGCCAAGTTTCAGCAAAATTCTGCCACGGAGAAAAAAGTCGTCACGCGATCGGCTAATTTGCGATGGGGGCAGTAAGGGTAAATAGTTGCCACCTAACTTTTTCTTTGCGTAACGATCGCTTCCCTTATGTCGTCCTGGTTCGCCCAACCTCACCGTACTGTGAACCCGCGGTTGCAAAAGTAATGTGGTTCGTCTGAGCAAGGAACGAACGCACCAGAAGTGTTTTGGAGCGTTTCCTTTTCCAGTTATTTGTCTCTCTCTTTTTCTAATTTTATAAAATATGGAAGAGGTTACTGATGCCAATTAGCTTCGATGGTTTCTTTACAAGCCATTCGCTTTGTTCAATGGCAAAATACCAGCACCGTTATTATAAGCTCGGATGATTCTTTGATGGAACCTTTTTCAGACGATTGATCGAGTGGCAAACCACACCGACGAGTTAATCACTGAGGTACAAATAACGCTAAACGGGACAACGATAGTGGTAAGCTTATTGAAGCTTGCTATTCAAGTTTTAACGCGGAGTCTTGCCATTTAAGCGCTGGATGGGGCGTAGAGCCACCTGCAGGAGCAACGGCTGAATGTGAATCCTCACGTGCTATAGGACGGTAATCAGCGGCATTACCGTGTGAACAGCTGGAATACCGTATGATAATGATCGGGTGCGCCTGACACTCCGTTCAAGCATGTTACCCGACGCCGCCTGACTTTCGCTGCTATTTTTTCAACAGGGCAGTTCGTCCGTTCAGCAACACGACAGAACCACAGTCTATGAGAATATGCGGTCCAGGAAACATTACGACAGTCAAATGATTAGGCATCAGCAGGTAAGCTGAATTAACTCGTGAGCAGAATCTGTGCAGGTTTCTCTGCACTATAATTGCACCATAAAACAAAATCTAACGGTCATGACAAGGTAGGTCCTACCAAACTGAAGAGCGTGGCTGGAAATTGTGTGAATGTAATTTACAGTGTAATTTAATAACGCAATGACAAAATGGTTCATCACGAGCTGCGCTCTATTGCAAGTGCGCAATGTTCGCAGATTGCCGCGCGCGACGCCGCATGGTCCTAAAGTCCGTCTCCCGCGATACTTCTGGTCCTGCCCTAAATCGCTTGGAGAAACTGCGCTTCAACTGATACCAAGGGTAGTCGTCGTCGTCCATTGGGTAAGACCATCCCTTGGGTGAAGTATTTCGAGGTAATTCTCCCTTATTTCGCCACGAGAATTTTTTCTGGTGGTGGTTTTTTTCCGATTCATGCATGCTTTATGTATCACTCTTATTGCAGCGAAACCATTATTTCTGCTAATTCATGGTGTCTGAGCCCCCTCCCCTCCCATCCGCCTGGCGGAGATGCGTTAGGTAGGATGGAAAGGAGGGCGTGTTTCGCAAACATCTCCCGTAATGTGATGGTGTTCTCTCTTTGACGTCATGCAATTCGCAGCTCTCGAATCTAAAGCCGCATGTTAATGACTTACGATTGGGAGAGCGGTCACACGGCGTTCTGCCAGATTTCCTCCTTTTACTATATGTCGAACCTTTACTATGACTTATGGTCAGGGTTTGGAAAGATACATTGGGTTTCATAGGAAAATATTCCGCGCCGATCCTGTAAGCGTATAAAGAGAACCATGTCATTTGCGCGAGAGGGAGCTTATGAAAGGGTAGAGAAAGCGCAACCACCCATTCGGTTATCGTGGACTGTGGCATAAGGTAGCGGCGCAAAAAAATGTTTCTGCATAGACCTTTCGACCGCATTTCAGAAAGCTTGGCAATTGTTGACATTTCAGGTCTCTCAACTCGGCGATGCGGTTACGGTGTTGCTCGACAAGCTCTACGAACTCATTTTCTGGACTCTAATTATAGTGATACCGGTGTTATGCGTATCTGTACTGTTGATTACGACTGGTTGTCTGATACGCAGCTGTCGCAGGCCAGTGCGTTACATTCCGCACTACCGAGAGATTCCACTTGTTCGGGAAAACTACAGTTCATCAAAGTTGTTCCGTGATGAGGCTGAAGATGTGTGACATTGTTGCGGTATTTTACCTGATTATCGTTTTTGTTGTTTGTGTTCAGCTCAGCTCAGAGTATAGGCTGAAAATGACTTAATTTCACATAACAGTTCCAGTGTTTGTTTACAAGTTTGTTATGAAAATTTGCAAGCAGTTTTTCAAATTTGTGAGGTTAAAGGGGCCGTCAAAAAGTAGTTTAGCCTACCTCCACACTTTCTCATTGTGACAAGAGGACCGTAATTTGCCGCGCTGCTGGGCGTCGCGTGCGACGTCCCGCCCGCAAAGGACGATGGTTTCAGGCAGTAAATGGCGACAACATGCAATTAAGGACCGGAAACAGTAATGAGTGTTCCGGTGCTTCATTCGACAGGTTAAAACGAGTTATGAAAACGCCGCGCCCATCGCCGCGCGTGGCGGTGCGGCGAATTACGATCCTCTTTACCGTCTCCCGCTTTCTCTAGCACGGAAACTGAGCAAATCATGATGACAAGCCAAAAATCATAGAAGTTTAAGAGGGTTAAACACTCCAGACAGGAAAAAAACCCGCTTTCTTCCAAGGAGAGCTGTAGCAGAGCATATCATATAGCGAAAAATTGCAGCAAGTTTCGAATCGCAGCCTTTGGGGTTTGTTACAATTTTCTTTTCAGACAACTGTAACTCACCCCTGAGTCCACAGGTGCAGTAGCGTGCCACTTTTTCTGCTCACGAGAACAGGGCTACAGGAGGTGGTACTCAAATGCTGCTTCCATACTCGTCCGTACTGCGCTCAAGGTGCAGCATTTCCGTCGTAGGCAGACCTGCACTCAGAGTTAGGCAGCGTAAGCGCTTCTAGATGGGCAGTATGACCTCTCTCGCGACTCTACAACGAGCATGGAGGCAAACAAGCCCGTTAAAAGTTCTATGTTCGTACGCGCGCTGCATTCGGAATGCCTTACCTGCTAGATGCCCGCGTTCAACGGGAGTGGCCGCTCAGTTGTTCTTTGTTGGGGCGGCGGGCATTAATCGGCATTCATGTCCTTTTCGCTGACCACGCTCGTGCCCATAAATAATTCTGCTTTCCTTTATTACATTTTATTCATTAGCAGCACATACAGTCAACTTCATCCCATCTCGCAAGGTAAAACGCGTAAAAATCACGAGCGACCCAATTTTCGTGGTGCAAAAGCTCGACGCACTAAACACACTAAAAGATGCACGCTACCGTAACCCTTAATTCGGACGCCGAGTTTTTAAAAGTTGTTTTCCTTTCCAAGAATTTTTCTTCCGTGTTTTTGCTTTTGTCTTCCACATTTTTTTTTGCATTGGATGATATCCATTACTGGGAGATGCGAAAAAGGGATTTGTGAGCCAGGGGTTGCACAATGACCGCAGGGCTGTGTGACTGACAGGGAGCGATCTTGTTTATGGTGTTCTTGAGAACTCTTCTTGCTTTTTCTCTTCTTTGGAGAATTACTTATCAGCTACTGTTTCGTAATTGAAAAGCAACTATCCATGACACTTTTATCGCGGGAGCTGTCTTTAAAAAAACAAGCAGGGCGCCGACAATGCGCGTTTTGTTATGGTCAAGCGTATGGTTAGCAGGTCGTCGGGACCGAAGGCGGAATCCTGAATGACACCGAGGTAAAACCACCCTCTAGATTCGTTTCGGGGCACTCTTGAATGCTGATGTGGTACGCTATCTGCAGAAAGCAGGATTCACGCGAAGAGAGTGTACAGATTGCGTTTTAAATTTTGATATTGAAAATTCCGTTTTACAGGCATGGCAAGATATACGAGCGAATAATACGTCGCATTAAAGTAGATATTTTCCAGTGGAATATCTAACTCTTTTCATGGTCTCTACGACAACAGTTACACGGAATCACCTGAAAAATACCGACTTGCTTCCATAGTTTTCTTCGGAACTTTCAAAGGCGAGAGAAGGGCCCCTCTCTGATTCAGGCTGAATTCTTTCTAAATGGAAGGCTTTATTCCATTTTTTTGGTGCTAGCATCTTTTAATAAAGAGCACTCCGTCACGATACTAAAGGGACCGTCCAGCGATACGATACCGATACTCATGGTTCCATCACGTGAGTCGTGGAGTTCAAAGACAAATTGTGCAGATGCTGCTCAACCCCTATGTGAGGAACCAAGCAGTTAGAAACGCCAAAACGCTCTGAAAGCTGAGTTGCAGGTTCATCAGCTTTCCGAGTAATGTAAACCCGTATCCCGGAGGTGAAATGGGCGTGGCTGTGCAGTACATCTGAAACGTCGCGGCTGCTGCAGCTCTAGGCAGGACATAACCGATTTGACGCGTTTGCAGGGAATGTCTCACACCACACAAGAATAGGATGATGGTTATCTCCGAACATAAGGATGACAGTCTCCAAAATATGATAAAAGCTGCCCTACACAATGCTCAAAGAACGATGTACCAGACACCCCCCTCCCCTCTCAAAATATCGAATGTATAAGCGCACAATCGAAAATTGTAGCGAGAGAATGACGAAAAAGAGAGCGAGTAAACAGACGAGCACAGCTCCGCCGTGGGCGGGGGGGGGGGGTAGAGGGAACAATTCCAGGAGGTGTGGCCGCCCTAACCATGAATCGGAAGCCTCAGGCCCCACAGGCCAATTTGCGTTGCTAATGCTGTCATCTGGATTCTGGCCAAGACGCTCAGCCTGGGTCTGCAACTGCACTTTTCCATGCATGCCAAGGATCACGCTCACCCACTATAGGCCATCTCTCAGCTTTTCAGCAGCGAATTCCTGTCAAGTTGACCAATGTGTTATCTGAGACGCTCACGTACGCCGATCTCTTGACGTGACACTTCTTGCAGCTGTTTTCTTTACGTTCGTGCGACATCATGTGTTGCGCTCAAAGCGATACCGCCCACGGCTCAACGCACATGCCAGTAAGCTTATTTATTACATATCGCTATAGCTGCTCTACTCCATGGTCATTCACAACTCTTATGCTAGGGCCGAGGGTCACTACTAGTTTTTTAAGCCCATTGCCTGGAAATCATCATCGGAAAAATCAAACCTTTACTACCGTATCCTGAAAATGCCTGGTGAAAACCGGTGAAATCTGCAAGGTGTGTCAATATTTCCGATCAGCGTATTTTCAGTTGTCAAAATTCGTCAAAATTGCGAGTGCCGTTGAGCCAATAATAAGTTTGATAGCATATCGGAATCACTTCTCAGAGACCAGTTCTAGCGATCAAAATTATCTATGATAAGAATCACAATGTTAAAAATATCATCAGCTTTCAAAATGGCACCTTCATCATTTGCACAGTGCTTCAGAGTCAAGTAATTTTGCCCCTCCCCTCTATATTCCGGTTCTCTTTTGATCGATAGAACTATTGGAAACGCCAACTGTACAAACACCTTTCACATAAATGAGTTTACTAGCATTCATCATGTACTTTGAGTACTTCCGGACTACACATAAGAGCTTCAATGATACAAGCCATTCTGAGAAGGTGTTTGTACAGTTGGCGTTTCCGAGAGTTCTATTCGATCAAAAAGAGAACCGGAATATAGAGGGGAGGGGCAAAATTACTTGACTCTGAAAGACTGTGCAAATGATGAAAGTGCCATTTTCTGAGCTGGTGATGTTTTTAACATTGTGATTCTTATCATAGATAATTTTGATCGCTAGAAC